ACTGAGCCTGTATAATGTCATCTTTGGGAAGATCAGAAGCCTGAACCGGCCTCCCCAGATTATTTTGAAGCTGAGCAACGAAGGGACGCAGCAGGACCTGGCCAATTTTGCCATAAAGGTCTGTAACAATGGAGTCGTTCCATTTTTTGGCCTCGGGATCCTTATCCAAGAGGGCCACCCCTGCCGATAGCCGACCGGCACCTTTGGGGAAACCCTTCAAGTACGCCCCAAAGGCGAACGGGATTTGGGTCCTTGCGTGATCATCCTTGATGATGGAGAATTCATCAGAGGATTTAAATGTTTCCCGGACGGCGGACAGGTCCACGTTCACTTCATAGGGACCGTCCGGGATGCTGGATGGCATTTCTTCAAACTTGACCTGTGCGGCCTCAGCGGCAAGGACCTTAGCCTGGGAAGCTACAAGTTGGACCCGAAGGGTACCGAGTTCAGCATCCAGCCTCTGCTTCTCCTCCGCAAAGGCCTTCCGTTCGGCCTCCAGAGAGGTGATGGCGGCGGCAGCATTTTGCTCAGCAGAAGATTGAGCAACAATCAGTTCCCGTTCCTTGGCCAGACGGGCTTCCCGCATTTGAAGGGTGTACAAACCCATCTACAGAACACCGTTCGAGAGTTAGTACTCATCACAGAGAATAAAATAAAAACAGGGCGCAAAAAATAATGTACCTTCAGAGCGGTCAAGGCCAGACATTCTTCAGATTGCTCGACCGGCAACTGAGGAAGGGAAAAATTGTTGAACCATGAGGAGGTTGACCAGATCTGGCTCGCGGTAGAACCAGCCCTTTCTAATACCTCGTGGACAGGATCAGATAAGGAGATCCGCTCGACCTGACCAGTAATATGGTCGGTATGGGTCTCACCTGCATTCGAGGGTTCCCCCCGAACGGAGTCAAAATGCTGAGAGAACTCATGCAGTTGGTCAGAGCCGAACCGATCATCGACCAGCATGGCCTCGAATTGGTCCTGATGGACCTGCTGTATTGGCTGTGGCTCTGGAAGCGGTTGAGAAGAGGCAGCATCCTGAGCAGGAATAATGGAGGGAGTAGGTTGGGGGTTCTTCCTGGATTTTTTCCGTTTACCGGCCCCACCGGCTGCGATAACTCTGCTATCATTCATAGGTAGATCTGGGTTTGGTGCTGAAAAAAGACAAAAGGACAATGTTAGTATCGAGCGGCCTTAGCGTGTGAGAAACTAGAAAAAAGAACAAAAGAACGTTTCTCGCACGGGAAGGACCGCCCGGACCATGGCACTTGGTTTCTCAAAACAAGTAAACCCAAGAGAACGAGCAGTACCTATCCCGGGTGTAATAAGTCGTTCGGGAGTCAGATAACTCATGATGTCCATGCATTTATCCTTCTCCACAGCAAGCACGTCCTTGTAAATTTCTTCAGCGAGGACAGGATCAGGAGTCTTGCGGGGGAAGGCATTCCATTTGCGGGGAATTAGGCCGTCCGGGAAAGACACGAAGAAAAATCGGTCCTTCCACCCTTTGATTGAAGTTGGGTTTCCCTTGAACAGGATGTGTCCCGTTCGGGCACTAGTGGCCAGATAGTCGTGGGTTTGTTGGGGGGCTACCTTGAAAAATTGGTGGAAGAGTTCTAGGGTTGGTCGGGCGCCGGCATCTTTACAACGGCAAATAAAACCCGCCATTGCCCGATAGGAGTTCGGCATAATTTGGGCCGGTACGACTTCGTAGAAATTGAAGAATGAAATGTAAAAGGGGTGTAGCGGAAACCTAAGGCCGGCCCTAATTGAGTCAAAATGAACTATGGTCATTCTGGGCCTATGACGCATTGGGTGAAGCCCAGCTTGCAAACGGAAATCCACCGGGTCAGGGATAAGGGTCGGAATTTCGGCCCTACTATGGGAGGTCAGTTTTTGCCGCCTCTCCCTAATCAATTTTAGGTCAAGGGTATGGCGAGGACAATCGTTGGGACGTCCGGCCACCATGGAGGCTATTTCATCCTCGGATTTGGTGTCGTCGGAATCTTCACTGGAGGAAGAAGAAGTGCTAGGAAGGTCCTCCGCCTCAGCCCTGGTATTCGTCGTCGTTTCAGTAGAACCACCGGCAAACGGGACTGTGATGACGTCCACAATGGCGGCGTCACGGTCATCTCCATGGGAGGCCATCTCCGAATCAGAGGAATGTTGTTTGGGGCTCATCTCAGTCGAGCCAGAAATGAAGATAAGGAATCCGGATTTGAGAAGTTACCTGAGCGATGGAAGCTGGGAGAGAATTGCAGGGGAATCAACAAGGCGCAGAGAATTGCAGAATCGAAACCCGGAATTGAGAAGTTAAAGGCTAATTTATAGCCTTGAAACCGCCGTGTCAAGAACCAATCAGACAGCGACACGTCACTAGGAGCATATAAGCTAAACACGTGTCTAATGAAAAGACTAAACGACAGTTATCATGATGAATATGGGGAAATGAAGCGGCAGCCGTGAAATCGCAGCATGGGGAACTGATTACTTCTGTACCCCGATCGCCATTCGGGGTATTATAACATTGATATACTTCCTAATGCACTCACTATCGTTCGAGACATCGGAAGTGGGGGACTTGTGTTGGGATATTGACCTAGAGGCCTAATACCCAGATCGAGAAGGCCCAAGATATCCGGCCCAAGCAACGGGCCCATCACTCTATGATGAATAGATCCAGTAAGAAGACATACCGAACGGAGTTCGGCCCAAATAAAGGTTGGCCCAGTAAGAAGACATACCGACTGGGGTTCGGGCTATATATCGTACTTGAGCCAATTTGACAGCATCTTCAGTACAGCCCAACATCCCGGTCGAGCAACGGCCAACCAGCAAGTGGCCAGGTGCAATTAATGTCAGACTATGACATCAGCAAGTGGAAGCATGGATGACCAAGTCGGTGGAACAACGGCCAATCAGCATGGGGCAGCCCATGCTCTCCATTAGTATAAATAGAAGGTTTCAAGTCATTGTAAGGGTTAGCATTTCAATACTCAGGCTCTAGAATAGCATCATTGCTCTTATTTCTTGTATTAAAGCATAGTTTCCGACTTACTGATCGGGAAATTCCTTGTAATCAGACTGATTAATTAATACAAGTGAGCTTTCGAGTGTTAGTTAGTTCAGATCTTATATTTTTTACACGTTTTGATTCTGTGTCATTCCTGATATATCCAAAGTTCGTGTTGGACTTTCGGATCTACGAGATTTACCCTCAACAGTTTATATAAAGGTTTTCCTAAAATATTCAATTCGATCATGGATAACATTAACATATGAGCACAAAACTTATTAAGAAAATATCACATTTTTAAATACGATGTAAAATGAAACAACTAACATTATAGCCATCATAATCAATACCAAAATACTGTTAGCCGCACTCATTGCACACTTAAAGTCACATTTTGTTGAAAGTGAAATTATACATATGATGATTATCTTCCCATGGATGATATTATGGGAGTTTTCCTTAAATATTACTAATAAAAAGTTATGGATATAAATATTACTTCTTCCATTCTTTTTTAATTATACCAGTTCACTTTTCACGTTTGTCAACGCACAAATTTGATCATTAATATCTTTCATTCCTTATTAGTAAATTTTTTAAAAATAACCATATTTTGACAATTTAAAATGAGAACAATTTAACAATACTTGATAAAAAATAATTTATAGTACATTAATAAATAAACTATAATCAAAGTAGAATATATGAATAGTGCAAAAAGTCTAATGTTGCAATTAAAAGAGAACGGAAGTAGTACTTAGTAACTATTAGTGACTATATATAGGGGGTGTTTGGATTTGATTCTTAAAACTGCTTCTGCGCAAAATCCCTTGTATGAACAAATTCAATTGTCAAATAAAAGAAAAATGATTAACATTTTTGTATGATTTAGAGACTTTGACATATGTACTTGCATATTCAATCATAATATTAGGAAAAGTGATTTCCAAATCGTTAAATTTATTCATAAAAGGGGTTCTGTGCATGATTAATTAAAACACGAGGGGGTTTGACACATTTTTCAAATCACAGGGGCTAATGCGCTGAATTTCTATATCACGAGGGGGTTTGGTGCATTAAACCCCATTATAAATTAATGTTACAGTATTAATGTCATAATTGATAGTATGTTCTAAGTAAAACAGTAATTATTCTTATTTACGGAAAATATAATACTTGTTTTTTGAATTCCACATTGCTGGTATCCTATTTAGGACAATTTTTTTTTAATGATTGATCTTTCTATATGCTATGTAGACTATAGCTATACACTTAAAAAATCTAGGGAATTAAACATATGGAATTTTATCAATTCAAGATCCGAAAGAGATGAATTATCAATCCGAGACCTGAAAGATGAAATGTATCGATATACGACCCGAATGATGGAAAATTACCAATTTAGGACTTGAATGATTGGAAATTATCAATTTAGGATCTAAGTTGTCCGATTTTTTTTTTATCTTAATTTTTTTAATATTATTTAGTTTTATGAAAGTGATAAACTTTTGTGAAGAAAAGTTTATCAAAAATTAGAAATGGAATTAATAAAAATTAAATAAATCAAAACCTATGAAATTTTAGGTCCTAGATTGATAGTTTTTCATCATTCGGGTCTTATACCGATAGATCTCATCTTTCAGGTCCCGAATTGATAATTCATCTATCTTTCGGATGCTGAATTGATAAAATTCCTAAACATATTCATTGGAGGCATGATGATAATGACACGTTTTGCATCCCTTATAAGACAACCCCATAAGTGTGTGTAAAAAAAATTATTTTAAGAAATTAGACGACTACAAACAAATACTACGTATATAATGCTAGTTATGAACTTTATTTGTAAATAATTAATAGTCCGTGGCGTGTATATATATATATATATATATATATATATATATATATATATATATATATATATATATATATATATATATATATATATATATATAGGTAAGCTGAAAGAGATGGGGTGAGAAGAAGGGGAGGAAAAGGCAAGAAAGCTAGGAGTATTAATGGCGAAGATTGAGAGGTGACAGAGAGGCAGATGAAAATATTCAAGTGGCCATAAAAGCTAGAGCTCAGGCCATTGGTTTAATTTCTAGCTAAAGACTTTGTTTTTAATTTTCTGTTGAGAAGATTGGTAGGTAGCTAATAAGAAGCTCTCACTCTCTGATTTACAGTAATGTAATTATTACCCTCATTTTTTTCTCATCACCTCTCTTTCTGCTAACTATATACAGATACCCTCATTAATTTCTGGAGTATATGTTATCTTTCTTTCTTTAATTTCTTTCTTCAACCTTAGCCAGCCAGCAGCTGCTAAAATAATGATCATCAATCATTATTGTTGTATTTATTGTTTGATATAAATTCCATTGCATGCCCAACAGCTAAGCTTGAAATGTGTTGGTGGTGATATCAATTTTTCATCTTCTTCTTCTTCTAATATAGTACAGTGCTTAGTATACTTTCTTTCCTCTTTTTTCGCCTTTAATATCTTTCTGCAGGCAGGCCCAGGCAGGCCAGGTGGTTCAAAACCACAAGAAAGAAGAAAAAAGGAGAAACTTTTCTTTAATTTAATTCAGTTTATCACTTTCTCCACACCTGCTGTCATGGCACAGAATGAAATGGGCTACGCTGTTGTAAAGAAAAAGTCTTTTTCTTCTTCTTGTTCTTCTTCTTCCTCCATATCTTCATCTTCTTCTTGGGTTTTTCTTTCTACTCTTTTTCTTGTGCCCTTTTGTCTTTCATTCTTGTGCCAAAAGTCTCAAGCAAACCAAACAAGCCTTAACAGCACAAGAAGCAGCATACACAGTGGACAAGTCAGCAGCTTGAGGCTTGCTAGGATTGAGAAGCATCTCAACAACATCAACAAATCCCCACTTTTTACCATTCAGGTGCATTTTAATTTTTGGTAAATTCTATATATGGTACCCTTTGGGGTACTGTAGCATTCACCTTAACTTTTTAGTGTTTAATAGTTCTCCATCACTGGTATAAGTAATTACCTTCAACTTTAAGAAAATCCTACCTACATTTTGGAGAAAAAGCTGATTTTCCATGGTGGGTAACCAGAGGTTTGGTATTCCATTCCAAGGTTAAAGCTTGAAAAGTTTGTAAAGGAACAAACTTTCATATTTTAATTTTTTTATAGATTATAATGTGAAAGTTTGGCCCCTCCAAACCTTGTCCAAGACTACCACTAGTTTTAAAACACTGCATTCTTGAAAAATTATGTTTATTTTGCAAATATATGATCAGGTATGAATTATGTTATCAATTAATATGTCTTGTCAACTTTTTATATTAGAGCCCAGATGGAGATATTATAGATTGTGTTCATCAAAGAAAACAGCCAGCTTTTGATCATCCTCTTCTCAAAAATCACAAGATCCAGGTACTGCTACTAATTAAAGTACTGTATATTTAATATTAGGAATAATAATTAGTTGTGTTAAATAAGACTAACGTTGCATGTAGGTGACGAATTGATGATTATTATTGTTATTAAGATTTTCAACTACCAACTACCTGCCTTTCTTTTTCTTTACATTACACGCACAACCTAGTGCTCATTTTCTTCCTTAAATTAAGATACACCTTCTCCCAAATTTTTTTGGAAAGTCAACATTTTTTGTCAACCAATAAAAAAATCAATGCTCCCTATCGATAATTAACTCAATTTTTAATAATTAAAATTTATATATTCAGAAACTACATTAAAATCTCTTTGTAGTTGTAAACTCCAAATTAGAATATAATTAAAAATTGACATCCTAATTAAGCAAATAAAATGAAACTGTTTGACCAAGAAAAGTCAAATTTGCAAATCAATTTTGGACGGAGTAGTACTGAAAATATAATGAACTTATTACTTCCGCGAGACTCTCACGGTTACATATTAATAATGTCAAAATATGTATATATAGGATTAAATTACTATTTACACGTAATACTTCAAATTTTGAAAATGAGATTTTAATTTATTTTAATAAACATTAATATATTTGAACGGTTGGCGAGTTCAAGTGTGGAAGGCAAAATGTTGGGCTCAACATGATGAAGAGGGCACAACTTGGGGTTTAGATTTTATGAGTAACTCAGTTGTTTGAACTTAACGATAGAAAAATTAGAACATTGATCAGGAATTGAAACCCCAGTGACCGTTGGAAGGTTACGGTTTCTTGTGTGCTAGAATGAACTTATGAACTTTTTGTGCGCACGAGTATAAAATTGACTGAATTTGTGTCTTCTCAAATGTCTTGTCTGATCGGATCGTGGGAAGCTTTGGGATTGGAAATCAACCTTTTAAAACATAAATTAATTACAATATTACAAATAAATCATTACAAAAGAAATAAATGATGAAATAATGATTAAGATTAATCTATTATTTCATGACTACTCTATTATTTCGCTCAAGATATTTGGATTTGAACTTTTTATTTTTGTTGTTAGTCCAACGGTCCAACCCGGAAAATCCAACGCTCCCAAATTAAATTTTGGCTCATCTCATCACGTATTCACGTGGTTATGGTCTCGATCAAAAGCAGTTTTGGATTTTGATTAATTAAATCATGATATTACTATATGGAGATTAATATTGCAATCTCACAATTTGTGATTGTTACGAGTACAGAAAGTTGCACCCGAAATGCCAAAGATGATGAAAGGCGCCAACCAAACAAATGGTACGATGAGAAAGACGAACTCCGCCGGCAACAGCCGCGCTATCGGCGGATTGCGGCAGTTGTGGCACCAAAAAGAGATGCGGTGTCCTAAAGGGACGGTTCCGATCAGGCGGAGCACGGCGGACGACGTGTTCAGGGCAAAGTCATTGTATGATTTTGGGAAAAAACAACGGCGGCGATATGCTCCGCTTAGTAGGCGCGTGGATGCACCGGACGTTGTTAGCGCCAATGGCCACGAGGTGTGTTCACTAAACTCTAAAAAAATAAGGATTACACTCATTATTACATTATTATAATTATTTGGAGCCTATTTTCCATTAATATTACGGAGTATTAAATTAAATTAAATTCAAAAAATAAAAATATGATTTACTTTAAAAATTTCCAAAAAAAGACTCTTTCCAGACTTGCATTGATTCATCATCTACTAGAATTTGTCACTTTAAAATACACTATAGTGACTCTTGTTCAACTATAAAATACACTATATTGATCGAAGAAACTCTGTTAATAATATACGAGTATGTGTTATTTTTTTCATATTGGGACTATTATAGAGTAATTAATATGCAAAATGGAGCAAATTACTTAATTAAATAAATTAAAATGTAGGTCAGCTAGGTCTCATTAAATGACGTTTCACTTGTACAACTTTACGTGTTTGAAAGTGGAAGCCTTTTTATTAAATGCCATATTGCCCGTAATCATCACAAATTAAACTTGGAGTTGGTGTTTCACCTGTGAAGTTGAGCAATTTAAGACTAGACTCTAGTTACTTTGCCCCAAAAATGAAAATTTATTTATTAACTTACTAATGGTGTGGTATTAGTTTTGCAAGAATTAAAGAACAGAGGATAGTATGTATAACCGATGTCGTATAATTAATAGTTTTGTCATTTTACAGACTTTACTGGAATGTTCTATCTATGAATAATTACACACATGAGCAAATAGGACTAAAACCATGCAGCGTTTTCCAAATCTGAGTTACGTTATTTTCTTCGAAAAATAAGACTCATATATTTGAGTTCTATTTTGAACAATTTCTATATACTAGCATCTATAATTAGTTATATCATCAATATATGTGTAAATTATACTCCTATATACTTAAGCATATCTATATACATTACGATGTTTTTTATGGGATTGGGAGGAGAGATCATCCTGTGCCTTAACGGAGCCAATAATGTTGTTAGGGCCAAACCTTGTATTCTAGGGGTCGGCGGGATTGTAAAATGTACTTTATTGGGGACAAAATTTAAAACGTCAACATATTTGTTTAAATAAAAAAAAATACATAAATATGTACTCCAAGCTCTAGCCCCTTGAAGGGGCACATTATATTTTTTCCTCGGAGGGGCGAGACCTCCTCCAAACTCTCCCTATCTTCGCATGCTCGTGACTTGTGCCCTCGTTGGGGACGTAGCTCACATGGTGTGAGGGGAGGAGCACAAGAGAAAAGTTATGAGTTCAACTCTAACCTCGATCTAAGCAATAACTATATGGAGTGAGGGGAGAGTCACAAGAGAAAGGTTCTGAGTTCAACTTTAAGCAACAACTTAAACTAAATCGCACTTTCTTTTTATAAGTATTTAATCAAACCTCAATTTAAATCTTCTCAAATAATTGTTCGACCTGTTGTTTCTTTTTTATTCTTTATCTAGGCCATTGTCATGCATCAATATTGTAGGGACAATGACAGGTAGGCTTTAAATTTTGGAATGCAAAATCGAATGATAATGAAAAAATAAAATGAATGAAAGCGTTAGGCAAGATGTTGAAGTTTGGGTGTCATAATCATAAGTGTAATAAATTGTGTAGCACGCAATCGCCTACACCGGAGCCTCACAGGACATATACGGGGCCAAGGCGACTATCAACGTGTGGGACCCGTCCATAGAGACGGTCAACGAGTTCAGCCTCTCCCAGATCTGGGTCCTCTCCGGATCTTTTGACGGCTCAGATCTCAACAGCATTGAAGCTGGTTGGCAGGTACTCCTTCCCACTCCCTGCTCTCTTCCGCATACTATCACCCCACCCCGTCTTTCCTTCTTTCTTCCAAAAACGGTGGGCGTAGCTCAACTCGTAGCAATGATTAGGTGCCGGGTTCGAATCCCGGCAACCGTGATGAGAGGTTACTATGCTAAAAATGTATAGGACTCACTCTCTATTTGTCAGATTGGGATTATGGTCGAATTTACATCCTTCCAACGTACCGTCCGGTCGGGGTTGGGGGGCCCTCAGGGATGGGGTGTCATCCTTTTTTTTTCTTCCAAAAGGTTGAATTCCCAAACCCAAGAACCCTTACGCCCCCGATCCGACACGGTTTTTGGAATGTTGTAAGTCATGATGACTCGATCGACCCAATGGTGGTAGATCTTGTACATGTGCGGATCAGATGTTCAGCCCATCAAGCAGAAGTTGTGACCTCCACACAGCCGATGCGGGATTCGATCCTTGATCATTCGTCCAACTTTTCTACTACCCAACCAACTGAGTCACCCGGTTTTCCTTTTTTATAACTTTAACAAAAGAAAATGGAGGGGTGCTTCATTAATTAATTATATTTGATTAATTAAATCTCTAAAGCTTTGATTCTTCTACTAGTCAGGTCAGTCCGGAGCTGTATGGTGATAGCAGACCAAGATTGTTCACTTATTGGACGGTCAGATTTCTATTTTCCTCGTTTAAATTTTTACTTTTTTACTTGATTATTTGCTAATGTATTATTTTCATCTTCTTCTTGCGCCCATAACACATAATAGTGGCTTAAATGTAAAATATTATTTTTTCCATGGAAAAAATAAATTAGCTATTGTAGCTCTAGCTTGGAAAGAATATGACATTTTTAAGAGACCTAAAAAGTAAAAATATCAAGAATGAAGAATTCTACTCCGTATGAGTTACGTCACACTTAAAAAAAGGTTGATGGAAAGGGGCTTTAAATAATTAATTTTTATATATGAATAAAAAAATTAGAGGCGTCTAAACCCAAAAAAAACTATATATAAAAGTACCTTTAACATACTGATGCGATTTAGCGAGTATAAATTAGAGCTCATTTGTTGGTGTTAGAAATGGATAAAGTAGTTGGTGAATTTATTGAAAGAGGAAAAGTGCAAACATACTCATGTACTCCCTAGTATATTTAGAAATGCACATATACTTTTAAACTTTTAAAAGGTGTAAAAGTATCTTTAATTTTTCTATAAATGAGCAAATTTATCCTTATTGAATTTAATTAAATAAAATAAAATTACAAAAAACAAAAACAAAAAACAGATTATAAATTAAATTTCGAATTTAAAAAAATGATACTTAAGATTATACGAAGTATATTAAAACTACCCAAAATTAAATGAGTACAACATGAACAAAGTTTAAAAACAAATTACTTACGTTTTATTCTCAAACTATGAAATTTTAAATCCTAATACAGAAATAAAACAATTTTAACAAAAGTACAGAAATGAAATACATTTTTAAACTTTATCTTTGAGGGACGAATATAATGAGTCACATTTTTATTTTTGAGAGGAAGGAAATGTGATTATACTATGTATTTGACAAAAAAATGTAATGTATTAGTCCCATTAACTAATTTATCAAAATATACGTAGTATTATGTTTAAAACAAATTTAAAGGAAAAGTAAATACATGAGTAAAAATTCACTGTGCGCGATCCAAAAGTTAAACAAATTTAAAGAAAAAGTTTAAACGGGCATGCTTAACATTTCAATAAAAAGACCCACTAAAAATCATACTGTTTTGAATGAGTAATCAATTCTCTATTTACTGTGCGCAATCCAAAAGTTAATGTTGGGCGGAAAATCTAACTCACAATAGTGAAAATTCCAAATTAGTCGTGAGCTCAACCGATAGCGAGGGAGTACCACAAGAGTTAGGTCTCGAGTTCGAATCCCGACAACTACGATGAGGGATTACTATGCCAAAATGCATAGGACCTCTGCAAGTATCGTGGACAGAGCCTCACTCTCTATCTGTCAGATTTGGATTATAATCCAATTTACATCTTTCCAACGTACCGTCCGATCGAAGTTGAGGGCCCTTAGAGATGGGGTGTCATCTTTTTTTTTCAAATTAGTTGCAGCCTTGCAGTTTAACTCACAAAAGTTATTGATTGCACTTTCCTGTTTATATAAAATATTATTCCTTAAAAACTAAAAAGTGTTTGTTTACACTTAATAACAGAGTGATGCATATCAAACAACTGGATGCTACAACCTCCTATGCGCTGGATTTGTGCAGACAAATAGTAGGATAGCCATTGGTGCTTCCATTTCTCCACTCTCCACTGCTGATGGAAACCAATATGACATCACTATACTCATCTGGAAGGTCATTTTATTCACCAACATTTCTTATCTACATGCCCACTTGAACACGTTTTGTACGTTTTGTTTGTACACAAACAATTTTTTTCATTTTGTAAAGAGAAAATATGTGTGCCGCTGACAAAATGTTGTCGATGTCACAAACAATTATCGTTACAAAGTGAAAAAATATTTGTGTACAAACAAAAACTGGATGTGTACACTGGTGTGTACAAGTCTGAGTGTAGTCACCAATTTTCTTTATACACACCCCGTCTAAAAAGTATCTAATTTATGTCAGTGCACGTTTTTTTGATTGGGTGAATTTAAGGATGTTTTCTTTTGTACTACTTTCGGTCACAGACCAGACCAAATCAGACTTAAACAGATCAGAGCAGATCACACCAAACTTAGACATTTAACATGTTTTTACTTTTTCAGCCTCAGACCATAGCAGACTAGACCAGACTAGGTCAGGTCAGACGTGAATAGTTATCAAATACACAGAAAACAGACGCTTACCAGACCAGGCCCGTTCAGACCAAACCAGACTACACTAGCAAATTTCAGTCTAAATAAAAACATACTTATAAAATACACAGAGACCAAATGCTTAACAGACTAGACCGGACCAAATCAAAACCGTTCAGACTTAAACATATCTCTCGGGATCATAAGTGTCCGACCCTTTTCTACATCACTGAACCAAAAAAATCATCCATTTGTGTTGCAGGACCCAAAGCTTGGAAATTGGTGGATGGGGTTCGGGGACAACACGTTAGTGGGCTACTGGCCCGCGGAGCTCTTCACGCACTTGGCTGATCGGGCCACAATGGTCGAGTGGGGAGGAGAGGTGGTCAATTCCCGGGCCACGGGCGAGCACACCTCAACCCAAATGGGATCGGGCCAATATGCGGAAGATGGGTTCAAAAAGGCGAGCTATTTTCGGAACTTGGAAGTTGTGGATTCGGATAACAGTTTGACTTCGGTTCGGGACATATCCACGCTTGCCGAGAACACCGATTGCTATGACATCAAGAGCTCATATAGTGAGGAATGGGGAACTTATTTTTATTACGGCGGGCCCGGAAGAGGCCCGAATTGCACTTAAGTTTTTACGAAGTACACATCTATATTTGTTTGGGATTTTTCCTTACATGTTACTAATTAAATTATATATCAATTGAACAAAAATGTAGTTAGCTGGCAAGTTGATTATTGTCGATAACTATGTTGTGACATTCATATAAAAATAGTAAATTAACAATTTTATCAAATATCCAACTAGTAATAATAAGGTTATGTATGGCACAACGAATTATAATTGGAGGTTCATGTCTGAATTAGAAACTATTATATTAATTAAAGGTTATTATTTGAAATTAAACTTTTCATAGATCGTATGTTCACCTTGGTAGCATCCAAAAGTCCAAAAGCAGTAATACATACTCCCTCCGTCCCGAAAAGGTTCGTCAAATTGATTTTTCTTGGTCAATGACAATCAACTTTGACTAATGATATTTCTTAATACGAATTATTTAGAATATGAAAATTATATCAAAATGTTCATCATTCAAAATATTTTCATAAAAGTATAAAATTTATAAATTATATACAAATATAATAATTAAAATCATCGTCCAAAGTTTGTCATCATTGACCAAGAAAAGTCAATATGGCAAACCTTTTCGGGACGGAGGTAGTATGTAGCAAATTAAAAGATAATACATAATTAATAAAACCACATTAATTAAAAAGCCGAATAATTAATTAGGTAGCTAGCTAGCAGGGCAGTCTATGAGGTTGTACAAACTATGCCTTTACATAGAGCCACCGAAAAATAGGCCTATTTTTAAAATATGGTATATGTATGTATATATTAATGTTAATTATTTAGTGAATTAGTGTATAAGTGTATTTGTAAATACTCCATATATATGAGCCTAAAACAGGCTGCATATAATAACCTACGAGTTCCAAGTCCCAATCTAATGCCCTAATGCTATTCAAGTTAGCACTGAAATACTTTAGCTTTACCTTCACAAACTTTGGTAAAATCATGATTTATTTTTTCTTCTCTTATTTTTCATGATTTCAGTTCTTTTCATTTCAAGTTTTAATGTCTTAATTGAGTGACTTACATTTTCCAATCATGGAAATTTGATAACAGATTGCTATTTTTGTATATTTTTTAGCAGTTCAAATTTGTTAATGGTTAAAATCCTTAAAAATCAAAACATACTTCATAATACTTCAGAGTTAAGAGTTAAATTTAGAAAGGAGAGTTTAGATATTACTTTCAAAAAATAAAAATATGACAATTTTAGAATTTGACAAAAAAGTGACTGGGTTTTTGTTACTACCCTTCTTCAAACACGAGTGGCCGATGCCCTGTTTTTACATCTGCGCTGGAACAAAGGACCACATGAGTAGAGAAGACCTCCCAATCGTTGCCATAGCCTCCGACGAATCTCACTGCATCCATCGCCCTCCGCAAACGGATCCTCACTTAGCCCTGCCATTTCCGCTTACTTCAATATCGCTGGAGGAGTGCCGCCATCGCTGCTCCAAGGCTGGAGGAGTGCCATCATCGCTGCTCCAGGGGTCCACCGTGTCCACTCCATGGGTCTGTCGTCGCTGCTTCGGCCCTCGCTAGTCACTGTCGTCGCTTCAGATCTCACCGGTCTTCGTCGCTACTTCAGCATTCATCGGCCTCTTGTGGTTTAGATCCGGTTCAGATCCGACAACGACTTTGTGTTGTGGGCAGTCGACGAGGGTCAAAACCGGGCGGGTGTGGCTATGAACTGGTGGTTATTGAGGTCAGCGACAAGTCGAGTTATTGGGAGTGGCTAAGGTCGACTGGTGGAGGTGGAGGTGAGGGTGGGTTGAAATGTGCTGGTGGGGTAAGGGTGGGGGGTTGTGGGATAGTGGGGCAGGGGAGGGGGTTGGGAGCTGGTGTGTATGGCTAGGGACAAGACAAGGGAAGTGGTGGTGGGGCAGGGGCAGGGTGTGGTGGTCACCGGTGGGGAGGCGGTGGTAACTGATCGGAGGGCGGAATAATTTGTGTCACTATGGGCGGCGGCGGCGGTGGCCGAACGGAGGAGCTATCACTGTGGCCAGAGGTTGGACGGAGATATCATTACAGGAATGTCACCGTGAAATTGTCACTACGGAGGTCTCATTATGGCCATCGGCGGCGGTGGCAGTAACATGGGCGGCGGCGGTAACACGAGCAATGGCGACAATAGTGACACGGGCAATAACGGGAGTGACATCCAACAGTGACATGAAAATGACACAGTGAAATGAATATATGGTTGTCACTTTATTTTAGTCACATTTTTATCCAAATGTGAAAGTGGTCACACTTTTGAAAATTAGCATTAATTTAGTAATACTCAGGGATAACCCCTTAAATTTACCTGTTATTGGGCCATTGGCCCAAAACAAATTAACCCAACTTTTACCCTTTATGGTTGAGTAGGCTAAGTTGTTACCTCTAAAGGTAATTCAAAATGCAGCCCATTATTTGCTAAACACCCCCCCCCCCCCCCCCCCCCCCCACATTCTCGTATATGATAAAATCATTTTAGAAGTCCTGCCCTTATTACTAACACAGTGCTCTGGACTTTCAAGAAAGACGAAGAAGCCAAAGGGAGCTGAAACGCGAGCAAGTCGAAACGCCGCATAGATGGACGATTCCATGGATACATTGATGGCCAGCATGTCACGCCCCGGACCTACCCGGACACGTCAACAACCCACCGTACAGTACGAATAGTCAACCGCAGTTCGACTCATCCATACTATACAAGGCGTCTTGAATACCATTCACACATAGTACATCCATAAACAAACATAATGTAAAACATTTATTAAAGCAGCGGAAACAGTTAATACAAGTGTTCAAGCCACACTTGGCATAATTAGGCATGCAAGCCCCCAAAGTAATTATTTAGAAAATATTATCCATGAGCATTGTTTTAAATTGTTTTCAAAACAGAAACGGAAGAAGCACGAACCACGTCTTCTCCCTTTGATCTTCCCGAAGCAACGGGCGGTGGCAGCAAGCTTCAAGTTCTACCTGAAACTGTGAGGTGGCCTCCCCCGTGAAGGGGAGGTCAGTACTTGGAAACATTTGACAAGTACAATAGCAACTATACTAAGTATAATCAATGTTTAAATTTCTAAGACCCTCAATCCAGGGTGATATTACATTATAGGCCATAACCCTCGGTTACCCCTTTTTGCTATTTAAATCATACTTACTTTATATGAAGTTGAGTAGTCGGCTCATGGGCCCATATTCATTTAGAATTCATCATTTCCATTACCCCGTGACCGCAAGTCACGATAACCCCGTGGGGTTCCATCGAGCCCCAATTGTATAGCAAGGGCTCGGCCCAACTACATTTCTATACAATCCTCTAACTCAATATAACACATCAAAATTGTATGGCAAGGGCTCGACCCAACTACGTTTCCATACCAACCATAACTTCGTGGCAAGGGCTCGGCCCAACTACGTTTCCACGAAGATCACAAATACATGGCAAGGGCTCGGCCCAACTACGTTTTCATGCTAATCATATTACATGGCAAGGGCTCGGCCCAACTACATTTCCATGTCATCCTAGAGTCCAACTCTAATTATTTTCATAATCCAATTCTCAAACAAATCCTATGCCTAGAATCAATTCCCTTGGGTAGCCTTTAAGCCTACCCCTAACACACCTTAGTGTTCATACAATTCCACCTTAAAGTATCTCTTGAGACTACTTAAGGCATATCTATCCACAATCCTACCTCTTAGGATTTATTTCATCATTTATTTATATTAATCCCCCGACTAGTATCTTGATACTAGTTGGATAATCTTAGAAAATTTCAAGTTCCTATTTCCCAATTGACGTTTCATTTCAATTGATTTTCCAACCCAAGTATAGTTTGATCCCAATATCAAAATATCACTTTAATCCATTCATGAATTTCATACATGAAGTAAAAGTATATTTTATCACAATGTCATCATAGTTAATTCCATTAACACGTCGTTCCATTCATTTCACATAATCATACACAATTATTCTAAATTTGTATATCATGCTTCACTTACTCATCTCAATATTATTTTCATTTAGGCATTATAAATCATTAATAATCCATGAAAATCCCATTTAATTACCTTAGGTGATCTTATGAAATTAACTCACTAATTATAAGCAATATAGTCAGTCATCCTCACCTTATGATGTGCTCAACTAGCTGCCTCAGCGGAACCCTCTCGATCCGTCCTCGTTCTAGGCCGTTCAAGAGTGAAAAATCTGGAAAACGAGTGAAAGCCGGGCGGATTTTGTGAAAGGTGGGCGGCTTTCGGGCCTGCAGCTCGAAAACAGTCCCCTACAATGGCGGTTTTCCGGCGGTTTCGACTCCTATCGATTCCACAACTCTTCTAAGTTAAATACCACCATTCTATATCAATATTCTACACTTTTAAACGTGTAGAACATCATGTTTAATCCACCATATGATTTATTAAAATCATACACAAACAAACTAGCTAAAAGTGAAATACTAGTTGAGCTCTTACCTCTACTCTAGCTTTTCTTCTTGGGCTTCCTTCCTCCTGCTTCCTCAACTTGAGCTATGTAGGAAGCTTTCTTGGAGCTCTCTCTCTCCCTTTTTCTTGCTGGCCGAATGGGTGCTATTGGTAGGAGGTAACTCTCCTCAATCAATTTGGAAATGTCAAATGGGTAGGGCAAAGGGTATGGGTGTTTGTCTCTATGAGATTTCCCCCCTTTCCTCCATCCGCATCATCCCCCTCATTCTTGTCCTACTCCCATTTTTTTGGTCAGCTAGCACACCTAAAAACGTGGGGTGGCCCCCACTTAGGTGGGAGGTCATCCCGTTATGTCCCGGTGTGTACAATCGGCCCCGAAAGTTGTATTTCTCGGTCCGTTTTAATTATATTTTATTTTATCGGGCCAAATAAAATATATCACGCGTTCCTAATAATTATGGGCCTTTAGAATAGATGTACATTCCCCAACATTAATTTAGGAGTCTCCGAAACTCATTTCGGGCTGTTATCCGCTAAATTACCAATACCGGTAATTGAGCCTTGTTTGACCACCGGTCAACTCCGTGCCTTTCCTATGGTCCAAATAAAATATCCACAACCATATAAATGTCATCTAGACCAAGATGAATATAATATGTGGTTCGGGAATTATCGGGCGGTCCCCGTTCCCGCTGCGGGCCCCACATGCAATTTACTATTCACGTAAAAGAAATAATGAAATTTAGCAATTACGTAAATTCATAAATCCTCCTTCAAGGTTTATTACAAAGTTTTACTAAAAGTAAACATGCTTGGGGACGGTATCACATAACAAGTCATCGAAACAGACAACAAATAAATGATGCACGTTTCGATCTTGATCCGGTCCCCTCTACATAGACCGATGAACTATGAACTAAGTTGTTATTGTTAGCTTTATTTGTTTTTATTTCTTACAGGTTTATTTTAAAGAAATTGAACTTGAAAACTTTGCACCTGAGCTTGTTTTCCGTTGAAAAAGTTAATTAAATGCTTATCACGCTTATTGTTGATGTTGTTACTTTACCTTTCAATTACCTGAAGCTATTTTGACTTCTTCTTGAAAAGTGTCTCACCTCTTCTGCAATTAGCTTGTTCATTAATCTCCAAGTATGGCTCGGTTAAGAAAAAGCTAATGAACATACATGATTTTATGGATTTTCTTTTTAATTGAGATTAAATTGTGCATCATTAAGAAATATTTGCGCTTAATTGTATCCTCTCTGCTTCAACAACATATTCACCTAGTCACGGCTGTCACGTAGGTTTCTTTTGTCTGATCTTCTTTTTGGCTCCAATTATTTGCTGGGCACACATGTCTTGCTGGGGATTTGCGGCATACAATTTATTCATCGCGTTTCAACCTGCTCCCTTTAGCTTCTTTATCTTTCTTGAAAGTCCAGACGCCAGCTATAGATATGTGAGTTGGAGTTCTAAACTCACTCGCACTGCGTTACTAATAAGGGCATAATAGGGCTTGTAAAATAACTTTATCTTCTACGGGAATATGGGGAATATGGAGTGTGTGTTTAGCAAATAGCGGACTGCATTTAGAATTACCCTACCTCTAATTATACATTCTTTTTGACCGGCCCGAGCTCCCAATTCCCCAAACGTGCGAGAGTAGAGACGCGTCACCGGCCTATCGCCAAATTCATTCGCCATTCATACTGCCGTTCGCAAGCCCCAAGACCGGAATCCTTAGACGGCGAGAGGACGAATACGAAGTAGGAACGCCGACTGCCAAGCTGCCAGGATACCGACGTCGCGAGTCTGGCATCCTGCCACGCTTCACGCTTGGTCGCCTCCCGACGACCCGACCGGCGCCCGTCCCTGCCCCTTCTCAGGATGCGATTCCGATTCTGATTCTTCCCAGAATCCATCCCGGCAGCCCCTTCGCCCCCTTCTCTTCATACTTCAGTGCATCCTGAATCCCTAGGCTCCTGGTATTCTGCTATTCTACTATGCTACTACTCTGCTATTCTAATAGTCGTTGATTGTTGATTGCTGTTGGTTTAACTCTAGTAGTGGTTGCCCCTGAACCAGTACTCGTGACTCGCAGGGGCACAATAACAAAGAAATGATATACTAGTCTAGAAAAAAATCATATCCATCACGAGTATAGCAATAAACAAAACTATAAAATTTAAATAAAACAACTGTTTTTGGAATGATCTGTTGCACCCATTAAAATCACTTTGTGGAAATTTAAAGTCACGCGGTTGCCAAGGACCTTTTCTCAAATAACGTCTCCTCAACTCATCTCTAATATTAACATAAGTCTCGATCGGCATAACTTTTCTGTCCAACACTTTTCTGTCCGAACGCCGTCCGAACACCGGCGTTTGGGGCTGTTCCCGGCGGAATATTTTGATGAAATTTTTTGAGCATGTTCCTCATCAAGTCTAGTTTATCCATACCAAACTTCAGCTCAAAATTCGATCGGGAAGGCAGCCAAATAATTCGTTGAAGTTAACTGCGCCAAATTATACATAGAAAAACGCAGTTAACTTCAACGAATTATTTGACTGCCTTCCCGGTCAAATTGTGACCTGAAATTTGGTATGGATAAACTAGACTGGATGAGGAACATGCTCAAAAAATTTCATCAAAAATTTCCACCTGGAACCGCCCCAAACGGCGGTGTTCGGACGGCGTTGGGATCGGGAGGTGCTGGACCTGAGAATTTTCCAATATATATATATATATATATATATATATATATATATATATAAATCACCGCAGGGGCACGGGCACCCCCTAGCCCTAGGGTGGGTCCGCCCCTGGTTGTTGCTTGTTGTGAGTTCATTAGTTTCTAATTATATGTGATGATTTCTTGTTTAATTCATTTCAGCGGTGATGTAGTGATTTCGTTGGTATGTAGATGTTGTTAATTAAGTGATTAGTTGATATATTGAACTTTAAGTGGTTATTGACTTTTTATAACTTCTGTATGTAATCAAAATTTGAATTTGCGTTAATGTTATAAATTATAATTGGTTAGATAAAATTTTGAATTATTAAAATTTAATTATTTTCAAGGGCTAATAAAATGGTTGAATCTGGATATAATAAAGGTCTTGAAATATATTTTTATGCATGTTAGTTTAGATACAAAAGAGCTTTACAGTGTTTTCATCAAGCCCATTTTAAATTCTCCTCCCCTAGGCAGTGGCGGAACTAGGGGGGCGAGCCGGTGCCGGTGCCGGCGCTCCCCCTTCTCCGGCAGCGGTTCTGTATATATATGTGTGTGTGTATATCTCAGCCCCAGTTCAGAAAATATTTATATATTAAAGCACAGTCGCTGTTTTTATGAATAAGTTGTGATAGTTCAAATGGTAGGGCGGAGGTTGGGAGAGCTCTGCCTTCCAAAATGGCCCGGGTTCAATTCTTAGGAGCAGCAATATTTTTTTGCTTTCTCATTTGCCTTGCACCTTTCTTTTTACGTATGAGTGGTATACTGGTATGACTCCATTATTGCTTCTTTAGCCCATATGATAATTATTTATGCTCAATTAAATCACTCTAGGATGTAATGTTGTTTAAATCACATTTTTTGAATTTCTATATCTTTTATTTTAGATTCTCATTTCTTCAATTCAAATTATTTTTTATCATTTCTTCTTCTAATAATGACATATACAGACGTTGTCATTTAATTTAATGTCAAGAATAATTCTAAAACTACTTTAAGTTTTTATCATCATCTAAAACTACTTTAAGTTAATATATCTTGTGCATTTTTAAGCATTTTTATTTCAAACACACTACATATACATATATATGGAGTATAAGTTTTTGATCAAATAAAAAGAGTTCTTATCATGAAAATTGATCGAAAATAAAGCTTGTGCATTTAACTTGATATCCGATGACTCAAAATCAGCCAACAATGCATTATATTTTATCAAAAACTCGGTGACAATTTGATAAATAAATCAAAATTTTCTCTCATTGCGAAAAAGTGTAAAATAAATATCTACTAGTGTACCAAAACGAGTAAAAAGTGTGCCCGTTCTCATTTTTCACGGGAATAACTCTTTTTATTAGAACCTCACTCTATATGTATCTAATAATTATTTTTCACTCGTTTTTATTTTATCCTAATAAAAAATTGATTTTCAAAAAAAATTTAAGAGCACCGCCTCAAATTATTGTCTTGTTCCGTCACTGCCCCTAGGCCTTCAAACAGACATGACCTCCCCTTCTCGCATGCCTCTTTCAAGATTTTCATTATGAATTGAAATTTAATGCCTTGTTTATGTCTTTCTTAAGCTTATGTTTCGTGATATTTTCACTTTGGATGTGTGGAATGGTCGTACCTTTGAAAAAATGTTGCTTTTAATGATATGAACTTTGAATAATTTTGTGTCGCAACAAAGTTAATGTGTTCATTTTAGGAGGATTACATGATATTTTATTAGGAACCGAAAAAAGGTAAAAACCGAACTGTTTTCACCTTGTTCGGTTCCAAATGATTCCCCATATTTTATTAGGACCGAACTGAATTTAAAAACTGCATTTTTTAAAACGGTTCTTCTAAATTTTAACCAGAGCCGAACTGATCCTAGGATTACGACTGGGTGTGCTATGACAGGGTCCACTTTAAACCGTGAAACATTCTAGTGGTGGTAGTGGAAGCTAAAGAACTGAACTCGAGAGATTTATCTTCTATTTTTAACCAATTACAGAATTGTTTCATGCCACTTTGAGAAGTATCTTTACTCGCTTCAAGAGCCGAAGACTGTAGTGACATATACCCCGCCTCAATCTCCCATGCTTAACTGAAGGGTTATAATCATCTTTTAGCTCTGAACAAATGTCTGGGTTCAATCGGTCTTCATGCGGTCCTTCGAAGAATGCTCTCCCTCCACAAGAGCTACTTGATGATCTTTGCAGGTAATTGCACGTACTCTGTCCATGGTTAGGAATATGTGCTTTCCATACTTTAATTAGATATATATGTGTTTGCCCCTTAGCTTTTAGTTTTCAAAGTTAATTTATACATTACATAATGTAATACTTCCTCCGTTCCTTTTTAATTGCAACGGTCCACTTTTCATGTTTGACAACACGCAAGTTTGACCATTAATATCTTTAATTACTTATTAGTAAATAATTAAAAAAATTAGATTTTGAAAATTTAAAATGAGAGGAATTAAACAATATTTTTCAAAAATTTAATTTATAATACATTAATAAATAAAACGTAGTCAATGTAGAATGTGTAAATAGTGCAAAATCACCATTGTTGCAACTAAAAGATAATGGAGGTAAAATATAAATAGGAGATGTAAAAGGGGGAAAATTTAAAATAATTTCAACAATAGAACAACTCAATGGCTTAAGACTTAACTAGGATATTTATTCTATTATGAAGTCATAGTTTTGTAATGATTAGATAATTAGTGCTCGCTTATGTAAATTTCAAGCAATATTAAATACAAGGCGCACTAAATAAACAGTTTTCAGATAATGTGAATTGAACCCAAAATATAAATGTTTGTGTGAAATTAAAATCACACAATTCATTTAGTTCCGACTTTTTAAAAAGAATTTATTGGACAAGTAATATACTTTAAATTATTCTAGCATTTATGTAAATATAATATGCACCATCTATATGAATTAGCAACATAATATTATTCTTAAAATAAATAATATGCACCATCACATATAATATGCACCATCATATATTAGCTTCATGTTACATGTTCCTTTTTATTTCATTTTTATTCAGCGAGATGCTTACATTTGTAGCTCTATGCATTTAACTTACGAATGAACCTTCTTTCTTGTACGGTGCAGTCGGTTTGTTCTGAATGTTCCAAAAGAAGATCAACAGTCTTTTGAGAGGATTTTGTTTCTAGTGGAGTATGCACATTGGTTTTACGAAGACAATTCCGTTGAGAACAATCCATCATTGAAATCTTTCACTCTTAAGGAATTCACATCTCTTTGTATCCTTCTCCATAGTGTTTACATGGTTGGGGATTTTATTTCCATGCTTAGAGAGTAGATTGCAGATAATGTTGGTAAAGAATGTGTTCTTTCTGTATGATGCACATGTCATTTCTGATCCCATTTGCATCTTACTGGTCATGGAACTTGAGAAGGTCCACCCTTTTTCTTGAGAAAAAAATCACCTGCTTCCTAATTAACCCTGGTTCTTCTGGAGCCATGAAAGCTGGATGCATATTCTCATCTTCTTCACTTGAATCTCTTGCAGGAAATAAATCCCCACTTTTGAATCTCTGAAATGAAATGGATTTGTTCTTTTCCCTCCCTTTTGGGGTTCTTCAAAATTTTCAGCACATTTATTGTTGTCATTGTATTATTAATAATATTTGGGTTCTTTTAAAATTTGCATAATCTATAGAATTCAATCTGCTCTCCTTAATTTATTTTAGTATTTAACAGCTGTGATGTTTTAAAACCATATGTTGCCCATATAGATGACATTTTCAAGGACTTCACCTCATATAAGGTTCGAGTTCCTGTTACAGGGGCCATAATCCTGGATGAAACTTATGAGCGGGTAAGAGCCAAGCTCTAGGTTTTATTTGTGAGTACTAGAATAATTAAAGGGATGAAGAGATAATTGTTCAGCAAATGTTGTAGGCTGGTGAACACAGTGCAATCAATGAATTGTATAAAACAGAAATGAGCATGGTCATTCAATTCTTTGAAAAATTATACTACATATATCATTTAAATATTATTTCTTATTATTGTTGCTGTTGTTTCTCTAATAGTTATGTGGTATGGGCATGTCTCGCACGAGAGTCTAGAGTAGGAACATGGATAAGTAATGCAATTGGAGACTTCCTGTTGACGTGGTTGTTCTTGATATTGTTATTATTACAATTATCTAATTAAAATGATAATTAAACGATAGTAATTATTCAATAGGCCGGGGAAGTTCTTCGTAATTGCTTTTAATCTTCTTTCTTTCATCTCCCAACCACACGCATAACATAATCTTGATTAAAGTAGTGTAGTAATGCATTTCTGGTTACATGCTGTCATACAATGAAGTCCTTTGCATAAGAAGCATGCATATTAGCTGCTGTATTAAATTATTATCTTATGCTGTGTTGTCATTGTATAAGTTTTACTTTGTTTGCTGGACATTTTCTTAAAGAAGACAGTATGCAGATTAGGAATTACGATAGTGACAGCATTTTCTTTTGTCTTCTAATTTAAATGGACAAAATCCATTGGTTTTCTATTTATCTATGAGTCAGATGCCAAAGTGAATTTAATGTTCTATCTGCTCTTAGATGTCATCATCCGAACTTCAGTTTATAGTTACAAACATCCTTTATGCCTTGTAATGGTGATATTTTTTGGGTGCAGTGCTTGCTAGTGAAGGGTTGGAAAGGATCAAGCTGGAGTTTCCCTCGTGGAAAAAAGAGCAAGGATGAAGAAGATTATGCATGTGCTGTTAGAGAGGTATGTCATCATGCTTTTTGAATCCTATATTGTTATTCAGATTTCAGAGGCTTTATGTGCATATGCTTAAGAGTTAAGACCTTCATCTTTTTATATGATGACATTGATATTTCCATTTCCTGGGGTTCAACTTAGTGTAGTTGACTAGTTGTGCATTTATAACTATTACTGCATGGGCAGCTTTCTAGAATCATTGGATAACATATTAACGTGGTGTCTGATGTTTAAATAATACATAGTACTCTGTATTTTAATGTTTGCAACATTAGGTTTCACCACAGAGTTTTATTGAAAAATGGTAGGCGTAGTGATAAAGTAGTAAAAAGAAGATTAATTAGAACGGAGAAGATAAAGTGACAAAGCAGGTGAAAGAAGGATTAAAAAAGTAAGGGTACATAGTTATTTCTTATAGATAAAACTTTCCATTAGTGGGAAGTGTTGCAAACATTTAAATATGGACCAAAAAGGAAAGTGTTGCCAACATTAAAATACGGAGGGCGTATTATTCTGGTTTTTGAGAGACTTGAGAATGCTCTCATTCTAACAGGCTTACGTGATTTTTGCCTATAATACACTAACAAGGTGTATGTTTGCTTCCATATAGCCGACTCCAAAATCTTTTGGGAATAAGGTTGGGATGTTGTTGTATTCCTTCTTTAAAGATGAAACATTGCCATTTTGTTCTTTTTGCATAAGAGTGCAGTGCCCTAAATTTAAACACATTTTAGTCGATTAATTCACTATGGGTCATCCGGAAACAGTCTACCCTTGCTTTAGTACAAGGGTAAGACTGCGTACATCTGACCCCCCCTACCCCACCATAGGTGGGAGCCTTTGCGGCACTGGGGTAATGATGATTAGTCAATCAATTCACATTACAAATTGCTTGCTACCGACCATGACATAGCTATTAGTGATGATGGTGATAGAAATGATGGCATCTTGACAATATACTGCTTTTTATATTCTATAATGGATGCGTGAACGCAGGTTTTGGAGGAAACAGGGTTTGAAGTGTCAAAACTTCTTAAAAAGGAAGAGTACATTGAAATGGTTTTTGGTCAGCAAAGAGTGCGGCTTTACATAATCGCTGGAGTGAAAGATGATACAGTCTTTGCACCGCTCACAAAAAAGGAGATTAGTGTAAGTTATGATGAAAGCATCTCTATCCAAATACCCCCGAGGCTTTAAGGGATTTTGGCAGAAAGGGGGCAGTTTTTTAGGGGGTTAGTATCTAGATGGTCAAGTTAAGAAATACTTCGACAAAAAACAATTTTTTTGCAATTCGAACTGCCATGCAAATCATCGTAGCCCCCCACTATTATATTTTTTAACCTCATAGAGTCATAGCATACAGAACCCAAACAAACTTGATTTACCAAATTAGTTTCTTGTTAGGAGAGAGGTACCCATGTTTTTATGTTGTAACAATGAAATTCCTTTTGTTTACAGGAAATTGCCTGGCAGCGACTTGATGAGCTCCAGCCAGGAAATGGTGATGTCATATCTCGTAGTTACAGTGGCCTCAAACTTTATATGGTTGCTCCATTTTTAATGTTAGTAGCAGCGCGCCTTTATTAAATATTTCCTTATAACATCTTTCTAGTGACTACCTATGATTTATTGGAAATAATCTAGAATCCCTTACAGGTCTTTAAAAGCATGGATTTCTACCCACCAGCCTCCCGTAGCACCTAGACCTGATAGATCCTTGAAAGGTTCTCTCTCTCTGTCTCTCTCTCTCTGTCTCTGTCTCTCTCTCTCTCTGTCTCTCTCTCTCAAATGCATGTTGTCTTTGTCTGTCAATGAACACTAAGGTTTAAAAAGCAGTTCAGACTTTTTTCAGTTGTGAAAGTGTTAGTTACCAAAATAACCTCGATCAAGGATTAATAACTAAAAAAAATTTTGTCTACAAATTACCTAGAAAATAATATTGATTTCTTATTTGCAAGTGGAATAGTATTATTTTACTCTCCTAATGTTCTCATCAAACGTAGTTAATTTCAACCATTCGAAGTACGAGGTATTATTTAGAAAATAAATGTGATTGCCCCATGGGACATTTTTAAATTGTCAAGGAACTTATTCATGTTTCATAGGAAGTAGCGTATGGAGGGCAAAAAATAGTTCTACAGGAAACTCAGATGTAGCAGAGAGTCAACCAAGCAAATTAACAATAACCAATAAGAAACCCTTCGACACGGGTCCTGGCAGAAGCTTTAGAAGCTTTCAGTTTGATATTGCTCCTATATTACATGCAATTGATACCGCTTTCTGTCTTCCATGAAGACTGTACCTTAAGGGATTGTGCATCAGAGCCCCAATGAGTGAAAATCTGTACCTTGTAAAGTTTGACTCGCCCACAATTTAGTTTGGTTTATTTCAGTTAAAGGATCTGCTATACTTGGTTCATTCATGTAATGTAGAACATTTCAGACTGCAATGAATGTTTATCTTGTATTTTGCTGGGTTTAGGTTGACATTGAAGTATGTTTATCTGTAGTGCTAAACTAAAAAACTGGGAGTTTTTATTCGCAGACAGAAGTACTGCATGCATGAACAATATAGTCCATAATAAAAGGATATCAGAGCCTTGCAAAAAAAGGAAATCAGAGAAGTTTTTCTAAAATGGGAATAAGATCTGCAAACGGACATGCCATTTTTTATGAATTTGAGTATTTGACTACGGTGTAAATTTATTGACAAAAATTATTATTTGTATATCATCGTGGTGAGGCCAAATTATCAGATTGGTAAAAAAAGAAAGGGTGGTTTACCAGATTGGTAAAAAAACATTTGAGACATATTGGTAAAGCATAAGCCCTTCTACTTTGATTTTGTCATCAAAAGTGAAGGAAAATGTAACTGCCGTGTTTGATAATAGCATTTGTATGCTAGCTCATAGCCGGTTGAATTAACCATCTGCTTTCATTAGTGGTTTGAAATAAAATGTTAATAACTTTTTAAAATGATCATTACGAATATAAACAAACTTGTTAAAAGCGCTCAAAAGCGCGCTTAAGCGCCAAAGTGCAGGCGAGCGCTGGTTCCCCGCCTGGCTTTTGGGAAGTGACTCGCCGTGAGAAAGCTCTGCTTTTCCTTCGCATTTTGCGAGCTCGCTTTTCAATTAAGTGACCGCTTTTCAGAGCTTTTAACAAAAAGCGGTCATTTGTCTAGTCAACTTTTTTTCAAGTTTCAAGTGTTATTGGCTTCACGCTAGAGATTAGGGATATATTAGTTCGACTTTCCACGCACCAGACAGGTTTGGAGTTTGCCTAGACTTTTGTTTGGCTAGAACTCTCCAACTCGCCTGTGAGCCACACATTCTCTTTCATCCAAAGTGTAAACATCATTGGTCACTCTTCAACTTTACTCTGATTTTTTAGTTTGAAAACTTTCACTCTTGTTACGGAGAATAGCTAGCTCTTCAACATTTTACTGTGCTTTTTTGTTTGAAACACCTTTCAGCCTTATCACAGAGGACTAGTTACTTGATTAAGGTTTGAATTCCAGTTTATTTCACTAAATTAAATTCCGGTTAACTCCTTTCAGTTTATTGAGCAATTAGTTTTTAGTTTATTGATTTTATTCCAGTTTATTCTTTTTTGTTTATTGATTAATTAATTTTAAGTTTATTCCAGTTTATTCCTTTCAGTATATTGATTAATTAATTTTTAGTTTGTTCCAGTTTATTCCTTTCAGTTTATTAGTTAATTAATTTTTAGTTTTTCCCAGTTTCATTCCTTTCGGTTTATTCATTAATTAATTTTTAGTTTATTCGAGTTCATCCCTCTCAGCTTATTCGAGATTAATTAATTATGACTTTTAATACAATTACGTTTTTGCATAATTGTGTGATTAATGTTTTGTCACTTTTTGCCGCACTAGTATTATTCTTAATGACTTTTTTTGACTACTTGTGCATTTTTGGCTTAATCATACATTATATATTATATTTTTATTTTTATTTTTTAAAAGCATCACTTTTTGTGAGAAAGCTACGCTTCGTTTAGCGCTTTCGCTTTTAAGCAAAGCTCAAGATCATCGCTTTTGGATGCTTTTCGTTTTAAAAAAAGTTTGAATATAAATTTAAAAGTTTATTAGCGATTTATTAGCGGTTTGAAATAAAATGAAGTTAAAAATAAACTCAATTCTGTTAACTTTTTAACGAATCACTTTTATTAGCGATTTGAAATAAAGTGTTAGAAACTGTTTGCGATTAAGATTTAAGGATGTTTTTACTTGGATTGTAATTTGCTAGTCTGGTTTGTTTAAACCTGGTGTGGTTTGGTCTGGTCAGTTTAAGTCTGGTCTGAACTAGTCTGGTTTGGTCTGGTAAACGTCTGGTCTCTGTGTATTTTATAATTACGAAGGTCAAGTCTCAGTCTGGTTAGGTCTGTTTAAGTCTGATTTGTTTAAGTCTGGTCTAGTTTGGTCTGTTTAAGTCTGGTTTGGTTTGGTTTGGGATTGGAAACAGTTCAAATAAAAACATCCCAAATGTTAATACGTAAAATGACTGGATATGAATTTAAAAGTATATATATTGTTGAGGTATATTATCCCGTTTGTTACTGTTCCGGAGCCCAAAGCATCATTCCAGTACGGAGCCCAACCGACGAGGGCCGTTTCAGCCTATCAGGCCTGTTTCAGCCCTTTGGGCCCATTTCGGACCACTCGGCCCATTAGGGTAGCCTTGCACCCTCCCCCCTTTCTCTATAAATAGAAGCTTTCTCACCATGTTTAAGGACTTTCTTCTTCTTCCCTACACCCCACTTCTCTCAAAAGTTTGGAGCTCCATTAATGGCTACCAAGGCTCAAACTTGCACATTGTAATGGTGAGGAGAGATTAATGAGAATGAGAGGGTTTGGACATTAACCTAAAAAGTCTCGTGGTTTTCTCCCTTTCGGGTTTCCACGTTAAAATCATTGTTTATATTTTGTTATCATCAACATGCTACGAAACCCTCTCGGAAGAGGTGTTGGACTTCCGGACTGCGGCGAATAAACTCAACATATATACAACTTGTTTTTTTTTAAATAAGTCTTTGGAAAGGTTTTAAAAATTATATTTACATTTATTTTAAATAACTTTGGTGTAGGTTTTTCAAAAACTAATAAATAGTGATATTTAAAATATTAAAACTAAAAATATATGAATTTATAAGTGTCTGCTCGCGTTAATGTACATATGTTAAAAATGATAGTGTTAGTAATTATTTAAAGTAAATGTAAAAAGAAATTTAAAACTTTTTCAAGACTTATTAAAAATAAAAGAAATATAATTAAGTTAAATATATAAACTTTTACATTCACATCCTTAATGATCATTTTACATCTTAAAAGTTAATTGCAACAGCTAAGTTACTAACAATTTATTCAAACCGCTAATGAAAGCAATTAGTAAAAAAAGTTGACGGAATCCGCTAGTATTAACATGCTGATTCAACCGACTATTAGCTAGCAGACAATCGCTGTTATCAAATACGGTTGTTGACATTTTTAGTCTTCTACTTCTGAAATCAAAACATTGTGAAAACGTCAATTTCACAATACTTAGGATATGAAATATCGGAAATTGTAAAATCGAGGATCACAAGTGTCACTCATAAAAAATTAACCAATTTTTCATGATAGCTTCTTTCTTTTTTACCAATTTGTCTCAAATGATTTTTTTACCAATCTGGTAAACCATCCTTTTTTTACCAATCCGGTAATTTGGCCTCGTGGTGACATACTGACATGGTCACTATGATATAAAATTATAATAATTATGGTCGCTGATATTATTATTATTATTATTATTATTACTACTACTATTATTATCATCTTCAATTAAATATAAAATAATATCTTTATTCATCACCTATATTTTAATTGTAAAGTTATCATTATTTCTTTTTTTAATAATCATAATTGCCTTGTTCAAAAAAATCATAATTGACTTAAAATGGACATGGTAGACATACAGGAAATATTATGATTAATAAAAAAATATCATAATACTTTTAATGGTTATCTGATCTTAAATACTTAATAAGGTTCAGGTAGCTCTAGGGGTATACAGAGCGTCTGTGACAATAAATCTTGTGTCATTAGGTAGCAAATTAGGTAGTACCTCACCCTTTTATTACATCTAAAGATTCAATCATTGTAGCCACAGAAGAATTATATGCTATTGATTTAATAGACAATTGCATATTTCATAGAATATTGTGTGTGGTCCTACTATCTACCAAACACTCAAGTTCTCCTCGAGTTTAGAACTAAATACAGCAAGATTCACGGTGTTTGTTAAAAGTGTTATTGATTCACGTCGTATTATATCTTGTCGGAAAGATTATTTTGAATTCTCAACCATTGTTCTGACTCAATTTACAATGCATTAAGTATAATATACAGATTAACCTGAAATTCATAAACATTTTCGATTTCACTCCAAACACGAGTAGAAATTGTTTTGATCATATCTTGCTGTATTTAGTAGATAAGGACCGAAAATATAAAATTGAACCCAAAACTTAAATATTATTTGGATTTTAGAATCAATCCAACTATTAAGGGAAAACCATAATCATGCAGTGTCCATCATAAAAGGAATATAAAACAACACAAATATTGAAGTGTTCAAAAGTCCATGAACCGATAAAGTAATGAGTGAACATTGTCTTTCTTGACACCAAAATTTGTAATTGTGAGGTTGACGTCAATATCTCCTTCGATCACAAATGAGATTCGTGTTCTTTATTCTCTCGATACTTCTTTTAAGCGGTTGAAATTTTATTGCATGCATGACAATTCTTATACTAGTGACCACCAATTCCACATCTATAGCACAAGTCTTCATCCTTTATTTCTCATTTGACTAGATCCTTTGCGGATACATTGCGGACATTTGATCTTGCACCCTCATCTATTTGTCATACACTGGAAGATCTTCCATGACCCGGACCACGGCCTCCACACCCCCACGACCCTTATTACCCCTCCCACGTTTGGAATTTTGTCCATGTGAGTATTGGTTAGCATGCCCCTCCTTTACATTATGTTTTTTTCCACTAAAATTTTTTTCAAAGTGAGCTTCGGGGAATTTTCTTTGTCCCAATTGGTATAGCATTGTTGTTCATGAGAACCTCATTATGCCTCTCAACCACTTGGAAAAGATTAATCAATTGATCATAAGTAGTAAGCCATTTATCGTCATGCTCCAACCTGCACCGGTTCCCTATTATAAGTGTCGAGATAGGGAATGTGGAAAATGTTTTCTCATTCATTTCACTTGTTGTGATTACTTTGCATCAAAAGTTGAGACATGTTTTCAAGCGTAACATATCTTTATTGAAATCGCTAACTTTCTTATAGTCAACTAGACAAATTTCATTTCAATGCACTGTGAGTTCTGAGAGCAACGTACCATGGATGTTCCCAAAACATCCCTTAAGGGCATCCCACAGTTCTTTGGGGGTTTTCAACTAAAGGTATTCCCAGCGTAGACTTGGGTCAGTATGGCGCTTAAGAAACATTGAATCACTTTCTGAAGAAGGCAACTATTTGTTAAATTAATAGCCTATAATTCT